ATGCGGTGATGCGAGACGCACCGCGAGCATGCGGGACTGCGGATTGCCTCCCCCCACCCGCCTCCTCACCCCGTCCCGTCTCTGCCCGTAACTCACCGGGGGTCGAAGTCCGCCAATGCCTTGAGGGACTCAGGGGCGCGGATGAGCTTGTCAAGGATGCTGACGATATCGGCGAATTTGGGGCGCCGGCTGCGGTCCTGCTGCCAGCATTGCATCATCAGCTGGTAGATGGCGGAGGGACAATCCAGGGGGGCGGGGAGGCGGAAGCCCTCGTTGATGGCCTTCATCACCTGCGAGGAGGAGGAGGAGGTTGAGTGGTGCTCCCCTCCCGCCCGAAAAAAATGCGGTCCGTTGGCGAGAAAACCCCCTAAAATTCGGTGGCGGAGGAAGGCAGACGCTCACCTCGTGGTTTGAGAGCTCCCAGTATGGTCGCTCGCCGTAGGACATCACCTCCCACATGACGATGCCGTAGCTCCAGACGTCGCTGGCGGAGGTGAACTTGCGGTAGGAGATGGCTTCGGGTGCCGTCCAACGGATGGGGATCTTCCCACCCTGCGACAACATTGGGGGTCAACCCTGCAACCCCTCCCCCAAAAAAACCCAAAACCAACCCAACCCCACCATGGCCAACCAGCCCACCTCTCTGACACTTACGCTGGTGGTGTAGGTGGCTTCAGGGTCATCTTCCAACACCCTCGAGAGCCCAAAATCGGACACTTTGCACACCAGGTTGCTGTTCACCAAGATGTTCCGGGCCGCCAGATCCCGGTGGACGTAATTCATGTTGGCCAAGTACTTCATGCCGGCGGCGATGCCCCTCAACATCCCCACCAGTTGGATGACGCCAAATTCCCCCTCTTTTTCCTGGGAAAAGGGGAGGATCCGGCCTCGAATCCATCTCTCTCGTCCCACCTCCCGTGATGGGTTTTGGTGGTTCCACCGCCCGGTAAATCCTCGCCCGGGGGGAGGACGTTGTCACCGCGCTTCACCTACCCGCAGGAATTTATCCAACGCGCCGTTCTCCATGTACTCAGTGATGATCATGAAGGGCTTGTCTGTACGCAAGAGAGAGACCCAAAATGAGTAAACCCCTCCCCAAAACCCCCTAAAAAATCCAAAAGAAAAA